GCCTGCCTCCCCTAGGCTTCTCAGGGCCCCTCCAGTCTTCCCAGCCCACTCACCAGATTCGGGTTTGGCCTGAGTCATCAGCTCTGGGGTCTTAGTAACATCCTCATAACACATGTAATAGCGCACAGAGCCGTCAAACTCTCCTGTTTCCTTTTGCTTCTGTGAAAGGACCAGTAACTTTGGTTAGCCTGCCCATCGCACACGACTCTGCCAGGGGAAGCAACACTGCTCTGCTCCAGGATGACCAGAACTTTCTAAAACCAAACTAAGCCATGGACACAGTACAGGGCACAGTGGTTAATTGTCTAGCTCAGTTGTTTTTTTTTGGTGGAACTGGGGATTGAACTCAGGCCCTTGTGCTTGCCAGAGAAGCGCTTATTCCACTGAACCATCTCCCCAGTCCAATTGTCTAGCTCATGAGATATTTGTATTTACCCAACCCATCATCCCTAAATCAATAGACACTGATGCTTCTGTCACCTCAAAAGTTGCCCTTTCCTAGTCAGTACAAAGCCTCCCCTGAGGTAACAATATTCTGGCTTTTGTCACCAGAAATGAGTTCTGCTTATTCTCAAATTTTACTTAAATAAAATTATATAGTATCTTTTCTGTCTTGCTTCTTTTGTTTAGGATAATGGCTATGACAAGAAGTCTGTGTTCTTCCTTTTTATATTTTGAGGCAGTCTCACTATGTGATACAGGCTGCTTTTGAACTCACTTATGTAGCCCAAGCAGGCCTCAACCTCATGGCGATCTTCCTGCCTCTACTTCTCAAGGGCTGGGACTACTGGGGTGTGCCACCTTGCCCCGCTTGTGTTCCTTCTGTCACTGATACTCAGTTTCACACCTTTTTCCTGCCACATATTATTGTACTGCATAAAAATACAACAACTATTTACACTCTTCCTGTTTATAAACATTCAGGTTACTTTGGACTTAATGAACAACACTGCTTCAGACATCTTGCCCTTACCTTTTGTACAACATGTGCACTTATTTCTCTCGAGTTTATAATTCAGAATGGAATTACTAGGTCATTGATATGCTTTGTGAACAATTTTAGTAACATTACTTCAGGGTTTAGTCGGCTTCCGGAGGACTTGACTGTCTATCGCTGGCACAACCTAGGCAGTAAGTGCTGCACGTCTAGGAGGTGGCAGACACCACGAGAAAGTTGAAGTGTTTGCCCTGAAGGTGCTCGTGCAGAGACAAGGCAAAGAGAGACATGGAACTGCAAGTAGGAAAACTAGCTGGGCCTGGGGGTACACGCTGTACACCCAGCTCTGTGGCAGAAGGATCGCCGAGTTCACGGCCAGACTTGGCTACAGAGTGAGTTCAAGGCCCACCCGAACTACTCAGTGAGACCTTGTCTCAAAAAACAAAAAGAAGAAAGAGAGAAAACACCAAAGTGTCTGACTTCCTGTCTTTTTTTTTCTACTCAAAATTGAACTCAGAACTTTGTGCTTGCCGGGCAGGCACTTATGCTGCTGAGCTATAACCCTTGCTCCTGTGCTTTTCTTCAACAGTAAAACCATGTTTATTGGCAATAAAATCTTTCATGGAAAGGAGTAGCTCGGGTTCCAAAGTAGAGCTGGTCCCACAGAAGGAGGATAAGGGGGTTTGCACCCTGCTGCCTTTCCTTCCCTCTCTCAGCCATGCAGCCCAACATATAAAAGTACTAGCTCTCAACAAATGTGTAGCACATACCACAATAGAACTTACCAAGAGACACACATTGTCATCGTCCATGTAGAACACCCCGTATTCTTTGTGTGTGGACAATACTACAGGACAAGTTTGATACGTTTCCCTGGTGCATAAGAAAGTGAGAGGCTGAGCCAGACTACCTCTGTTTAGGACTCCAGTGTTTCTTCCAAGATAAACCCAGATAACCACTAAAACCACCTTTTCTTTCTCCAGTTGAGGGAGAATAAACACTGGATCTTACTCGATGACAGATGGATCATCCCCAGGTGTCATATGTAGTACATCCAAATTCTCATCGACCAAGATGAGGGATTGGCCATCAGGGGCCAGGTGCAGACCTGTGAGGATTCCATGTTCTTGCAGAACTCGGTGTAGGTGAAGCCTATAGCTAAAAATGTGGAGGAAGAAAGATCTTACTTCAGTCAGCCTCCCTTGGGCTCCACAGCTCCCCATGCATGGCTCACAAGTGAAGTACAAAGCAAAATGTGTTGCTGTCCCAACACACCCTGAGCACTTTTTGCTTTCATGTTGCCAAGATCAAATCAAGGGCTGAGTGTGCAACACCAGCCTATACTTTCTTTTCATCTGCATTAAAATTCATCCTCTCCTCCCCTTACTTGCTCAAATTGGTAAGCAATAACATGCTTATATTTTTCTTCCGTTCCTAACCCCAGCAGATCAATAAGACTTGTGGATCCCAACCACAATGCATTCACTCATCCAGAACTTTCCTCAATTCTAGAGCTCAGGTCAGGGCATGCAGCGTGTTCTCCCTGGAGTACAACACCTGCCTTTGGTCAAACCATTATTCTGCTGGGGATCACAAAATGTACAATGGCACAGTAGCTGTCCTAGGCTCTCCTTGCATTGTCTGACTTGTGGGCCAGGTTTGGAATTCGGAAAACACCTTCCTCTAAGTCCATGAGTTTAGCAACCAGGCATGCAGAGGGATCTTGGCTGGTTTTCTTTATGACATTCAACTCACCCATTGTACCACTTCCTCTAGCATGTTCTAGGAAAAGCACCCTGTCCCCTCCCCTACAGTGGCTCATAAAATGCTAGCTAGCTAGAGAAGGGGCTTTGTTCCTAGAGAGTACCTGGCAGTCCCAGATCCCTACTATGCACATGAGTAATTTGTCTCTTGCTCTTTCTTGCAGGACCATGAATTATAACCTAGGCAGGAGACTGGAACCATGTTGGATCCAGTCTGGCACTGACACTGTGGTAGGGCCTTGTGGAGTACCTCATTCTTTCATGTGGCAATGAGAAACATAGATGTAGGAGCAGAGATATCTGCTGTTGAGGGGGCTCTGCAATGACCCAATGCTCTCAGTGAAACAAAAAGCCAAGAGTTCGAGTGTCCTAGACTTTTATTGATACCATTCAGGAAGTTGTGGGGGGTGGTGGTCACGGCAGAGGTCATGGGAAGAGAAACTTTGCAGGCCTGGCTATAAGGAGGGATAGCATACTCTTGCACCAGGCACAGAGGCCCTCCAATTAGCAGTGCAATGGCCAGTTTGGTGTAGGCAAGGATGGCACCTGACTGCCATCAGGTATCATTCTTTCTGTGTCCCATGGGAACAGCACAGGTGTGGGCTCACGCCTTAGCCCTGTTCACTCACAGGCTCCTGCTGGAGCCTCCTTCCAGCCATCAGCAGTGTGGCTATTCTCACCCATGAGCACCGCTGTGCTATGCTGAGACTCACGGGCACATGGGCCGCACTCCATGACTTTTTTTTGGCCAATCAAGGGAAAATCTGCTTTCATACAGCCAGCCCTGCCTGTCTCCATGAACTGGGTTGAAGGAAACATCCGGGGAAGATGGTGGCAAGGGGCCTCATTTCTCAGGGGAGCAAGGCTGGGTGGTCTCCCACACTGTCCATCTATCCTCTATACTCCCACCAGGGTTTTCTCTCACTCAAGTTCTCTTTCTTTCTTTCTTTCTTTCTTTCTTTCTTTCTTTCTTTCTTTCTTTCTTTTTTTTATTAATTATGTAGGTTTTTGAGGCAGGGTCTCACTATGTAGCCCAGGCTGGCCTCAAACTCAGAGACCCTCCTCCCTCTTACTCCTGAGTGCTGGCATTACAGGCGTGCTCCATCATGCCCTGCTTCTCTCACCAAAGTTCTGATGAGGAGAAATTGGCAGTGTTATCCATGAGCAGAATGTATGCATGTCATCACATGTGAGGCTATGGGTTTAATCCCCAGTGTGAACGAAAAAGAAGAAAGCAAGCAAGCAAAAGAAAATCAGCATCAAAATTTTCAATTTTTTTTTTTTTTTTAAAACTGGGTCACTTGAATTCACCATGTAGCTCACAGAGTTCTCAAACTCATGGTAATCTTCCTCCCTCAGCATCCCTCGTATTGTGATTACAGGCATGATCCATCTTTCAACTAAACTCTCAGTACTGCATTTGAACAGCTTGGCTCAGTTTATCTTTCCAATCTAACCCTCTCCCCTGCTGTTCAACCACCACACTCCCTCCAGGAACCCCAGGGTTTGGCAGTACCACGAATTCCCTGCAGAGAGGCACGCACAGTGCCTTTCAGAAACACTACTTTTTGGTGAAACATCAATCCCTTCCATCACTGGCTTAGAAAACTCTTATTCATTCTAACCCCAAATATCAACTCTTTCTAATATTATCCAAACTCATAGCCCATAGAAATACTCCTTATTTGAAAATTAAACCTCAGCTGGGTATGTTGGTTTATGCCTGTAATCTCAACCCTCTGGGAAGCTGAGGCAGGATTTCAAGTTTGAGTCCAGCCTAAGGAAACGGAAACTTAGTGAGATCCAATTTGAAAACAAAAGCTACGGGGATGCTGCTAAGAATGCTTCTGGATTACATCACCAGCTCTGATGATAAAAAAAAAAGGACAAAATTCATTTGCATCTGGGTTACCTGGCCAAGAGCATGGCATGAAATAGACACTTGAGAGGAATTCCTTTTAACTGACAGAGGGAGGCGAACACACTTCCTGCTCGATAATCAATATGTGGGTGACCTGTTCAGAAGCAAAAGCGCATTCCCATCACCTCCACTCAGCCGCCTGCTTTCACCTGACTCACCCAGATGTTGAACCCCTCTGCCCCGGAGAATCGAGCACGTGCCACTCGGTGATCTTTTCATCATCACTGAGAACGAAGAAGTTGTAGGCTGAGTCGCAGAGCAGAGTGCTGACGCGGCCGGGGGCCTGGAGTGTACAACGAGGTCACGTCAGTGCGACTGAGCAGCCAGGCTAAGCCCCACCCTGCCAAGCACGCAGGCAACCTCAGCTTCAGCAAGTACCATGAAGCACATGGCCAGGACAGAGCTACACAGACAAAGGAGGCTGCCCCAAGTCACCTGTGCTGTGGCCACAGGCCTGGCGTCCTGCCACAGGGTTAATTCCCCAGCTAGATTTCCAGACAGAGCCACAGAACCATCTGGCCCCCAGGCCACTGCGGTGATGGCTGTGAAACTCCTCAGGGCACTGGTGTCATCTGGGGAAGAAGGGAAGTGATCCTTAGAAGCTGGGCTAGTCCTAGCATACCAGAGCTACCAGGCTGCACCGAGCTTCTCTGCCTCAGCAACACAGCCTTCCTGCACGCCTGTCTGTCCAGGCCGCACTCACCTGCTTCCTGAGGAACCTGGCACAGCCGCACTGAACCATCGCTTGAGGCGGTCAGCAGCAGGCCCGAGCGCTGGGAGACCGCAGCTGCACTGACAGGACCACTGTGTCCCGGGAGGGTGTGTGTCTGCCACACCTAGGAGCAAGGGACGCAGGTGCACCAGGGCAGCGACCCACCAGGAAGTGGCCCTCAGCTCCACCTCCCACAGCCCCAGAGCCTACAGGACACTCACCAAGAGTGGATGCCACAGCCGCGTGGCCCCGTCCAGGCCGACAGTCACCACCAGAAGCTCTGAGCCAGCCTGTCCAGCTGATAAGACAAGGAGATGACTCAGGAGAAGTAAAGGGGAGGGCACAGACAAGAGGCAGGGGGAGGGGAGGGGCTGACCCTTCACTACCTGGGCGGGGCTCCAGGGCCGCTGCGCACTGGCTGATGGGCCCTGAGTGCGCGGGGATGCTGGTCAGCTCCATACCTCCACGGTCCCACACTTTCAGGGTCCCGTCCCGGTCCACGGACACCACGTGTTCTTCCTGTTCCACAGCACAGGATCAAAACACAGGAGAGACCTGGGGCTCCCTCTACAGAGGAGCAGACTGAGCACCCAGGATTTAGAAGAGGTCCAAGCATAAGAGGAGAGTTCAGGTGCAGTGGAAAGGCGTGCCTCTGGACCTCAACCCTGTCTGTGGTGTCCGCACTTAGATCAGCTTTCCATCTTCCCGCCTGTTTCCCACACACTTCATTCCCTCGCTGACTTTTGGCTGGGGGAGCACATACCCGACAGAACCCGCCTCCCAACGCCCACTGTGTGCTCTGAGACACCCCCTACCCCAGTGACCTTTGCACTGCTTTCTCACCACAGCCCCCACGGCGCTCACTGCACTCTGATGACCCAGGAAATGACCAAGCTGCTGTCCCGACTCCGGGTCCCACAGCCCCACAGAGCCATCACTGGAGCAGGAGACCTGCAGTCAGAGGGGAGAGGAGTAGGGCTATGTGCATCCCTCTGGCATTTTGCTGTCTTCATAATGTGGCATGTGGCAGGAAACCTTCCTACTAGGAACTGAGCCCCTCCTGAGCTAAACACTAGCTCCTCCATTCATATCCTTGGGATGTGGGGCAAATTTAAACTTTAAGCCTTGGGTTTCAGTTTCTCAACTACGTGAGGAAGAAATGACAGCCCTTGCATCTGGAATGCTTGCTGTGGGCTGGCGGCATCTCTAGAGATGACTTAGTGTGCTGCCTGGTACACAGAGAGCATGTAACAATCACAGGAGGAGTTGTTATTCACAGTGTCACTCAGCAAGTTCAGATAAAGGCAAAACCCCACAGTGCTAAGGAGAGTGTGGGCTGGGGAGGAAGAGAGGATAGCAAAACTATTGGAATGAAATCCACTGCTTTGTATCTCTTTTTGAGAATAGCAGGGAGAATCACAAAGAGATTCACACTGGGGAACTTGGCTTCACTATCCCTGAGCCCCTAGACTCATGTGAATAAGTGTGGCATATGTGTAGAGAGCTTAGCTCAAGGCTACTGAAGGGCTCAGCAAGTGCCACCCATACTGCCACAGTAGGTGTGGGGAGTGACGAGGTGAGAGATGTCTTCCTCTAGGAATCCCGCTACGCTCTGTGCCGCCCCACACCTTCACTCACCAACAGGTCATCTCTGGTCCAGGCACAGCCAGTGACCCAATCACGGTGACAGGCAGGGAAGGAGCGAATCATAAGAGGGCTCTGCGGGGTCCGCACATCCCAGCACAGGAGATTCTGGATGGGTCCAAGGAGAGTGAGGCCTCAGAACCACAGGAGGAAACAGGAGGGCCAGGACTGTGAGCGCAAGAAGCTCCAGGGAAGGAAGGAGGGTGGTCTCTGGCAGGAGGCGTGGCAGAATAAGCAGCAGGAGAAGGCAAAAGGAAAAGGGGCTGGAAAGGAACCAAGGGACCAGCAGTGCAGAGGGAGCTGGGAATCGCAGCGCTCAGCAGCTCACCCGATCCCTGCCGCCAGTGGCCAGGCTGCCTCCATTCATGCTGAAGCTACAGCAACTTACAGGGCCCCGGTGTCCCCGGAGCGCAGTGCATTGGGGCAAGTGTCCTGCCTTGTGCCGCTGTGTCAGCAACTGCTTTGGCCAGAGCTGCACTGTGAAATCCTCTGCAGTGGAAAGGGAGGGGAAGGCATCCTGAGAGGACATGGGAGAGGCCTGGGAGTGCACACAGAGGCCACCATGGGGCAGAGGGTTCTAGGCAAGGGAGGATGTGAGTGACAAGCATGTGGCCAGGCCCTAGGCCAGGCCTACTCATCTTCTGAGAACATCTGGCCCTCACAGCTCCAGCTCCCTAGCTACAGTCAGCACTGTGGCTTCCTGTACAGGCTGATGCCCCAGGCTGCCTTTCCGCACACCTCTTCCCACCAGTCCAGAGACCCTTTCACTGGAAGGCCCAGGCCAATGCTGTGCATCACCACCAGCTTCCTAGCCCTTTATGGAGAAACCCTCCTGTTCTACAGTAAAGTTTCCCTCCCCCATGGCACAAATGAAAGGCAGTGCTGTAGTTCAGAGTCCCAGACTGTGGCTTAAGGAACAAGAAGAAACTGCATAAAGTGATTCAGGAAGATAAATGCATCCACAGCACTGTGAAATCTGTAAAACCAACACCTATGATCTGTGTAGTTTCGGGCACATACGTACATACAGTACTAGTAGAAGGAAAGCATCAACTTCTGCTGTAAAGAAAGATTGAGGATGCCCTGCCCTGCCCAGCAGTACCTGAGGCAGAAGCCAGAAGGTCCTGGGAGGAGGCCAGGCCCAGCACCGCCTTCTGGTTTCCGGGCAGGAGCCAGAGGTCCTGAAGCACAGCGCCTTCCTGGAGCACCCAGCCCTGCAGGCTGCCATCTTCTGCACCGCTCACCAACACCTTGGGGCTCAGCCAGGCCAGTGCAGACACTGCCATGTCTAGCATTCGACCCTGCACACGATGGGGACCTGGAGGAAGAGACAGAGGAAGGTGAAGTGGGGGTGCCCTTTCCAAAGCTGTGAAATCCACCCATTGCCCTTTCAGTACCTGAAGGGATTCTGTAGACCTTAATGCCATCTGTTCGGTACCCAACTGCCACCTGCGCACTGTCTGGGCTGAGAGCCACTGAGAGGGCAGGAGAGAGAGGGAGGGAGCCCAGGCATCCCCGGGGCTGACCCAGGGAGCCTGACCACACCTGAACCTAGGAGCCAAGAAAAAGGATTAAAGATATCCCACCTGGGCCACTAGTGTTCATCCAGACAACAGCCACACCCGTTAAGGTCCTGGACCCAAAGACTTGTGAGCACAACCATGCATACCCTGATTCCCTCACCCTGTAGCTCTCTGTCCACCCAGCTCCTCTAGGGTCCTCAACACAGACCCCTCCCCACTCAAGTCCTCCCTGCCTGAGCTACCCCCGTTCCCATCCCCTGCCTAAGCCCCTGCCACCAGACCTTGCCATTCTCTCCAGCTGTCAGTAACTGGCTCTGGGCATGCAGGAAAAGTGCAGCAGAAACAAAACCACTGTGAGCAGGGAAGGTGGCCAGGCATGCCCCCTCTTGCCAGGCCCAGAGCTCCACCTTCCCGTCCAGCCGGCCAACAGCCACAACCTGCCCCAGTGCACTGAAGGCCAACGTTCGCACAGAAGCTCCTGGAGCCCCCAGCTCCTACACAGGAAAGTAGTAGGGAAACGTCAGGGTTTGTTCTCTGCACAACACAAAGTGGCACAGTGGCAGATGTGCACCATGCACACCTGTCCTCCTGTGCTTCCTCCCCAAGAGCCATGGCCTGCTACCTTGGTGGCTTTGAGTCCATCTGCCTGGAAGAAGCTGATGCTGCCTGCCCAGCTGCCAGTGGCTAGTGCCTGCCCCTCTGGGTGGAAGGCAACGCAGGTGAGGGGCTTGGCACAAGTGTGCTGGCAGGAAAGCTGCCCACGGACTGTGTCCCAAATCTGCAATAGACAGTGGAGAAGATGAGGAGCTACATGCAGCCCTGAGCTGTTCAGTCCCACAGCCCCATAGCCACTCGTCCAGTGCCCTACTGCAGCCTGCAAGGGGTCACCAGGCCAAGCAGTGTGCCGCCCAGTCACGCTAAGGGGGACAAACTCACAGGGCCTCCATCATTAGGTCAGATTGTCATTACCTTTAGGCCCCCACCCACACACACGGTGGCCAGAAGCCGGCGGTCTGGGCTCAGGCAGCAGCCCGTGACCTGGTCCTGGTGAGCCTTGGTCTGCAGCACCCTATTCCAGGAAGACAGAGTCAGCCCTGGGCCCAGGTGGCCATGGCTCCCTCCTCACTTCTTTGCCCCTGGGCTTCCAAAAGGGAATGGCCTCACTCAGAGACACAGGGGACACTCACAGACAACCGTGCTCCAGGTCCCAGAGCTCTAGGAGCCCATCAAAGGCGCTAACAAACAGGGCACTGTCGGAGAGGAAAGCGCAGGACGAGATCCCGTCACAGCCACTCACTATGGACTTCTCCTCCTGTAGAGCAGGACAAGAGCAGAGGCACAGGCCACTTCCTGACCTTGCGTGTTCAACAGTCCAGCCCCTACCAAGCCCAAGGCCAAGGTAAGAAGGGCTCGAGATCCCTGCTATCTACAATCCTGGCCAAAACCCTGTTCAGATGGAACTCCTGATCCAAGGCAGCTGGTCCCATCTCCTTCACTCCAAACCCCACTCCTATTCCCCAATCACAGATTTTCATTGGTCTTGGGGAAAGGCATCCCACGGGGTGGTTCTTGTGAGGAGAGGCCATGGCAGTGGGACTCCCTCCTCCATCTCATCTCCCACTGGCCCCTCGTCCTCTCTGCTGCAGTGCTACTGGGCAATGTAGGGAGAACACTGCTCAGTCTTGCTGTGGCTTCTCATTCAACTAAAGGCCTTCCTTCCCTGCCCCATGTCTTCTGCTTCTCACATGAGCTCATGCCCTCAATTATGGCAGCAGGGCAGTTCTCCCAATCTGAATATGTCATGGGGAGACATAGTGACCTTTTACTTCTGGTAACCTACAGTGCTGTGATGCTTTGTGTCTGGATGTCCCCCACAAAGCCCTCTGTGGCCATGGGGTTGAGTATTTTGGTGGTGGCCAAATCTAGTTTTTCATAGATTCATAGCCTACTGCTGGAACTAAGAGCATGAGTGGTACACCCAACCCAGGGAGGGCCATCTGCATGGGATCTAAGTGACAGAAAGTGTCTTGCACTTCTCCCCTCTTGCCTTGCTTTTGGTGTCTTCTGCCACCAGGAATGGCTGTCTGGCTGCCACCAGCTACCCTGGCTTGCAACAACTCAATGATGGAATGAAACTGTCACAAACCCTGATCTAAATAACCCTTACCTCCTTTCCCACTGGGTGTCACATATTATGTCTCTGCTAGGACAGAACTGTGACTGAGACAAGCACTTGGAATCCACTCTGGGCAGCAAATATTGGCTGTGTGGATTTGTTTTGCTGGTAGTGGGAAATGAACCATAGACTTTGCGCTGAGTTGCATGCCCATGCCTGTTTTGTTTTGTTTTATGTATTTTACTTTATTATTTATCTTATTTCTTGGTACTGAGGATCAAACTCAGGACCCTGTGCTTGCCCGACAGGCTCTTATGCCACTGAGCTATATCCCCAGCCCTTGTTTTATTTTTCAGACAAGATCTTATTCAGTTCTGAAGTTGTACATGCACTCTATGATCTTTTGGTCTTCCTGGCTCAGCTTTACAGAGAGCTGGAATTACAGAAAGCTGTGCACCGGCCATCTCATTCATTTTTCAGACCTAATTCTCTGATCTGAAGTGAAGAGGCTGAAGTTGCTGAATCAACCAGGGAGCTCCTGTGAGTACCCAGCTGGGGGGCCTGAGGGCGTGCTACAGGGAAATTTTTTTTTTTTTTTTTTGGCAGAACCAGCGATCAAACTCAGGTCCTTGCACTTGCCAGGGAAGTGTTTATGCTACTGAGTCATCCCCCAGGCCCCTGCAGGTAACTTTGGCAACATTAAGGGTCCTACCTGCCAAGTTCTCAGATCCAAAAGGTACAGTGTCCCATTGGCAGTGCCCACAGCTGCTCCATGTCCACTAAGAGAGATGGCTACAGCAGTGGGGGATGAGGGAATCGCCAGAGACAGGCTGGAGCTGGAGGAAGAGCAGGCAAAGAGGGGCATTTAGGGAAGGAAAGCAACTGGAAATCTACTCTTTCCCCCATATCAGACACTCCCTCCCACTCTGAAAG